GCATTCCCCTGGAGGAGCTGGAGGAAGTGTCTGGAGAGAGGGAAGTCTTCCGGATAAGCGAAGGAAAATGGATGGATGGATGGACAACTAAACCTGTTAATTTCAGACTACGGTGTGCCCATCCTGTCTGTTGATGTGTTGATAGAATATGAACCATAAACTTATTCACACAACAACTTACTGTTTTTTTTTCTTTCTGAGATGAATCAAACAGATCCAGACAAATTGTAATGCTCTAGTTTGTTGTTTTAATACTTACTAAACTTCACTGATTGTGCAAATATTTAAATGTATATATACAGTATGGGAGATTGATCAATGTGTGTTAATCTATGATTAACACACATTGAGAACTCAGGAAGAATACTGTTTACATTGTAACAGCCAGTGGGGATCCAAATAAATAAATATGAACTTCTTCGGATATTTGCGGAGGTGGAAAGCCTCCTATACAACACTGCAGGAAACCTGGTAAATGTCTGACTTACTGTGCGATGAGTATCTTCACCAGTCCTGTGTGGCCACAGGTCGCAGCAGCATGTAGCGGAGTCCAGAGCTCATTGTCCTGAGCGTTGACACTGGCTCCTCGGTCCAGTAGGATCTTCACCATCTCCTCATAGTTATCTATACAACACTGCATGGAGATAAGACAAGAGAGGAGGGAGAAATGTGTTCAGGTTGATACTGTAATACATGCTGGTCTGATATCTTAAAGCCCGGGAACAGACACAGAGAAGTGGGAGAGATGAGAGGGCGTCAGATGGACAAGGGGACAAAAAGAGAGACAGTCATGGAGCAAGAGACAGAAGAGGAGGGGTTGAATAAGAAGGAAGAAAGGAGAGCATGAGGTTCAGAGCAAAGGGACATGACAGAGAGAAAGAAGGCCACTTGTATCTGTTTACGACCTGCTCGTCAATGAATACTCTGGTGACATAAACTGCACACAATATATTGAAATTCAATACATCACAATATGTATCACTTAGTCTAGCTATATACTGTATATCACGTGGTCTCCATATGCCAGCGGCTTCATATTTTTGTAAATATGACAGCCTAACAGAATGTAAGTCAGTATATCTGGCTGGTCTTTACATAATCAAACCGGTGCTAGAAAAGGGGAAAAAGAGGAATAAAGTACGAGTATTCCACAGCTAGTCCAACATTGTCATTGAATTTTTATTTCAATGATAACAATTCTAATAATCATTGCAAGAAAATGTGACTCATGTCACCAACAGTACAGACAAACAAGTCCATAAAGAAGTCAAACCAAAGAAAATCTCACACACAAGAGCCACAGCATATTTCAGAGTGCAAAGCTGAGAACACATTAAGCCAATCTGGACACAATCAGTCCGACATCTCAGCCACTGTGTGGGTTGTTCCTGGATCCAATACAAAACTGGAAATGCACTCATAACTCACTCCCATCCACAGAGACAAAGACATGCTGGGATATAAAGAACTCTCCTTGTAAAACTGGGTGTGATTACAGGGTGGGGAGGAAGGAGAATTTTCCATAAACACCATTCTCCAATCAAACTGCTGTCAGCAGTGGTAGTTTTCTCCATTAGAGCTAATTGGTGTGAGCGTGGCAGTGACATGCTGCTGAACAGACAAAACAGCGCAGAGAAAACACGAGAGAAAGAGAGAGACTGCAAGGAACTTGGAAGTTTAAGAACTGGATTATTCTGTCACAGTTCCCTGGATCCAGAGTCTGAGAGGAGCATCTAAGCAAGCTGAAAATGAAAAAAGATTGGCTGGACATAAAAACAAAATGGAGATAACCGGGAAGAAAAGGACCAAATAAAATGTTTTAAACTGCTTGCCCTGATTAGGGTTTCAGGAAATAGCAGCCAGGTTAGGTCACTTACAGTACTAATCTATCACAGGGTGAACCCACAAGTCTTTAATTGGTTCTAGTGAATCAGCACCCCATGTTTGAAAAGGAGCTCTGACTGGTTTTCTATCCTGCCCAGGAGTTAAGATTCTCCTTCAAGTTCAGTCTCTGGTGGTGAGAGGCCTAAAGTGAAACATCCAGCATCTTTACAAGTCCACATGATTAAAAAAACTGTGATTTATAGATGCTGTAATGCATCTGTCACACTGAGTAATGAAAATTTTCTTTTCCCAAACTGAATTTCTCAGCATCCCCCACTTTTCTTTGAAAGTCACACCACATTGTACATGCACACCACATAAACCCTGAGAAGTTGAGGTGTACTGCAGGGAGAAGACTGTTTTTCTTGTAATGGATTTACATTGAAGATGAGCTGAAGTGTAATCTCTAGAGTTTTCTGCTATCTCAGGGTAGGCGTGAGAACAAGTCAAACAGTAATACACAGAGCGGCACAAACAGGAATATAAACCAACAGGAAGGAAATGCTAAGAAAGAGAACGAGAGGGCAGATTAGAAAGCAGACAAATATCAATCTGGGGAAACAACAAAAACAGATTCTGCTCTTCAGCATCGTTTAAACAGAATTTTGATTTAGTCCCTGCATTCATGTGATGTAAGAACAATTAAAAGACCAGCGGCACCAGTAACGAACACCATAAAAATAAGCAAGTAGAACCATATTAAATAAATGAGCAAAAAATAAATGTTACTTTCCAGATAACAACTATTCTTTTTGTAATGAGTATTTCAGATTTTATTCCAGCTAACAGGTACTTTTGTTTTGGTGACAAAGCAACCAGATGTTGCCACACCTCTGGAACCAAGTGACCTACTGTATATCACCACCAGCCTTAAAACAAAAGCTCAGTCTCTGTCCTCATTCACCTAAGATCCATTCTCTCTGTCTCTGCCTTCTCCCTTCTGGTAAAAACTCAATTCTTAAAAAGACTATTAGACCATATTGACATAAGGACAAAAGGAGTTGTGCGCATTCTTTGCCGTTTTGTAGCTTCCACTGCCAATGATGATCAGATAAGGTGGCTCTAACAGGGGTGCAGAGGGAGTACATAAATGGATATACAAGCTAAGACAGGAAATGAAATTACTGCTGCACAGATGCAGAGGATAGATAGCAGGAAGACAGATAAGAGGTGAAAAAGATGCATAGAAAACAAATGCTGATCAACTGGAAACACAACTGGCTGCCAACCACAGCTAGTGACTCACATTTTAGTTGAGGTAACAAGATCGATAACCTTTTTATATCAATGTCTGAATCTCTCACAGTAAGTTATAACACATAGCATCATTTGGCAGTTTAGAAGGTCAGGTCAGAAAAACAAAAAGAATTCTTATTCAGTTATGAACTGTAGCTGCTGTTTACATGATGTGCCCCAAAAGACCTGTGGATTATTTTAATGTCTGGATACAAAGGTTTATAAGACAAATTGGACAGCATGTACAGAACTGACTGTAGAAAATGCACCGACCTGTCCACGTGACCGCCTCTAAACTGACACTAAAATCTCAATTTTACCTGTGACTGCAGTAAGTAGCAAAAACAAATCCAATTAGAGCTGTTCTAGCAGATGAGAATGGTCACATCACATTTCACTTGTTAAACTTACTTAAAAATAAAACTTAGAATTCATATGCAACAAAACACACTCTTGAGGTGTTTTTCTGCTACAGTCTTGATCAGTCTGGTTTGAGCAAACTTTAGATGCTAACTCACATTATTGAGCTTCCTGCAATCACTGTGCAGGACCCTGGTGCCTCATCACTCTGCTCATACCTATGCAACTCAGCTGAATTACGTCTTTTGCTTAAAATGCTGCCTTGACCATTTTTTAAAGTGAAGGATGTTAAAATGTGTGTGGAGAAATCTTTGTGAAATGAATAAGAGTAGGAAAAAGCAATATTTTTAAAACAGGCAGGCACATAAAAAGAAAAAGGAATACATGAAAGCTACAGTATGGGGGTCCTAACGGGGTTAAAGTGAGCAAGACCAGGACCAGGTGGCTGAGAGCAGAGCTGAGACTGCAGGAAGTTGAATTTTACCAGAGGTGAAATGCAAATCATAAAGCGTAAAGGAGTCTGACTGAAGAAACCTGAGATGCCAGGTTCAGCTGTTGAGAATTAGACCTGAAAGGATAAATGAATTGAATCTGTGCTGTGACCTGCAGTCAAGTACACTGTGCACACTTTCATTGATTATTTCTGGGCTCCAGTGAAATGTTATTTCCTCTATTTTAACATCTCTTCTGTCAGTCTACTTGACACATGATCTAAAATGGCATCAACACTAGATCTGATCATTTCTAAATAGAAGTGCAAAGTGACAAATCTCCAGGTTATTACTGAAGTTTGACAGCTAAGTGAAAGAACACAGTACTGAAAGGCTGGTAGGTCCGAGCCCTCAAAGCCTGAAGTAAAGAGGAGCTGAATGACTGATGAGAAGTCTGGACCCACACAGGAATGCAGTCTTACAACTTCACAGCTCAGCATGATCAAATGCCACAGATGATCATACTGCACAAGCTAAAAGCCTGCTTCAGTCATAAATCCTTGAGTGGCTGAATCGGCGAAGTAAATGTTTTTAAATGTGACTCCAGCAGTCTGTTGATGTTCTGGGTCATCATGCCCACGCGACCACACCGGGGTCTTGAAACAAAACACGAGGTCAGAGCCAGATTAACAGCTACAACTCCAGCAAATGTGAGACAACACTTGAGGCAGGTGTGTTTTCAAGCATCTGCTGGTAAGTACCAAAAATATCCCCGAGTACCTGCAATACAGCACAGGCTACATGGAATCTGAAGTTAATCTGCTGTACTTTGACAAAAATGTACAAGGTCTGTCACAATTTCAGATTTTCACTACATGATCATCGTGGCCAAAGAAATTCACAATAATATATTATAGTAGCTACCTAGCTGGTTACTGCATGGTGGTGCTTCCCCCCCCCACACACTGGATAGCAACCAGTGTTAAGGTGCAATACCTATTTAGTTGAAGTGTCAACCAGATAGTTACTGGCTCTGGATTATTTATGATACTATTATATGTGTATTATTAACATTGTGTCAATTTTGCATTTTTTAAAAATATCAGTTATAATGTAAAACCCCTAATTACAACATATGATGTAAAATGTTCTTTTTGAAAATCACTTCAACTTACAGAATTCATGGCCAACAAAGCTACTGGTACAAGCAAAATGCTGCTAACAAATTTAAAAAAAAAAATTGTCACCACAACTGTTGCCTCAATTACCTTTTCCCTCCTAATTTTTAAGTTCATGCAATACAAAGTAAAAGTGCATTAACATTTGAACAGACGCTCATTTTTGACTGTGTGTAACAGAAGAACTAAAGAGAATTTAGAGACGACGGGACAGAGGCCCTGCACACTTTCCCACCTCCTTCAACCAGGCCAATCACACTGTGAGGTACTCATCAAATCTAACCTAGTCTCACACACACACACACACACACACATGCAGACTTGAAAACAAAAGATCTCATTTATTCTTCACATCACTCCAGTGTCATCTAGTCAACTAACTATAGAAAATGATAAGTCTCTATTAGAACTAAAGTTATAAAGGTGCTTTCATGAAGCATTAATCTCTTCTCAAGAGCAGACAGAGTAACTGTTGCAGTGTGTAAAACGTGTGTGTGTGTGTGCATGTCCTGACATATACAGTGATTAATGTGTTGTATCAGTGAGGTGAAGCCAACCCCAGAAAGGTATGACATTTCATTTAGAGAAACATCACCACCACTTTCCTTCATTTACACCACCTCTCTCTGCCTCCTTTCTTGGTATCTATCTTTCCTTAATCTATCCTGTGGCAACAGGACTGTGTTTGTGTGTACAGTACATGCACAAATTCTCCATGTGTGCTTCTACAATGTATCCCTATCTGCCTGTGTGTGTATTGTGATAGTTCCCAAATTGTAGCACAAGTGAGATGGCCTCATCTTGAAGACACGAGGCTGGCTGACCCATCCAAACAGCAAATTATCAGGTGCACACACATTCAAAGGCAAAAGGTCAATCTGTTCTCTTGGCAGCCAATGGCCCACAGCTTTTAAAATACCAGCCACAGTGGTGGTGACTGATGGACTTCAATTTTCTCTTTCGTTAGTCATTTCTTTGCCTCCCAGCAAGAGCACGAGTATTAGGATTTGAGCAGCCAAGAGGGAATGAGAGGCAGCTGAGTTAGCCGAGGCAGAGCGAAAAAAGGTAAAGCAGAACTGGAGGGAGAGACAAATGAGAAGAGAGGGGGCAGGAAGGATCAAAGGCAGGGAAGAAGCTACTGTAATGTGGATGAGCATCACATTCTTCAGAAAGAAAGAATCATTGATCTGGAAAGCACAGTTTTATTTTACATTAAGATGCGACTCCACTTCAGGGCTCAAAAATCTCTCACTTTACACTTAGTCTACTCATAAAGATGCCATCGAGTGAAAACAAGTAAAATCCTCGTTCACAGGCTGAGCTGTTGTTCATCGGCATCTCCCACCTGTAGCAGGTAAACCAGCAGCCGCAGCGGCTTCATGCGTGGCCTGCTGTTAAGAGCAACAAACCGAAATACGACAGCCTTTTCCAGCCTGCTTATTTTTGGATGAACATCTTTTAAACTCCAGCTCTAGATCCTCTGAGTACCGTATGGCATTTTATTTGACGCTTGTTGTACTTGTTGTTTAAACTACAGTCAAAACAAATGTTTGTACATTAAAAAGTAAAGAGGCATGAATTAGCTATAAGTGATAGGAATTAAGGACAAAACCTTTCAACGGTTGGCTCATTTTTGACCAAATGACACATGTAATCATCCATAATTTACTTAGGCAGCTGAGCAATTTTAAGTGAAAAGTGATTAGAATGGGCTAGAATCCTTGAATATCATGGCAGTAATGGCTCCAGTTAGCAAGTGAATGTAGGCCTTCCTACATCTAAATGGACTCATTTCTCTAATGCTGGACTCATTTGCTTACTGTGAAAATCGGTTTTTCAGGCAACCTCAACACTCTCTTCAACACAAAGCCTTTAATTCCTGGCTGGGCAGACTAATCACACCAGGAAATGAATTCTACTTCAAGAAAGAATAGGGCCGTGATGGTAAAGTAAAACTTGACTAATGACGTTTTAAAAATAACGGGTCAACCACCACTTCTTCGGTGTTGACGTAGAGAAAAGTGGATTTGTACTATGTGCATCAAAGTGGTACAGAAAATGAGCTTATTTCTTCTTCTGCTATTTTGTACATAACCTTCCAGACGTCATGTTTTGCTACACAAGGAGATCATAACTGCATTTCGAATGGCTTTTTAAAGTTGCATTTAAATAAAGGTCCTTTTAGGTGGACACATTATGCACATGTTTGCCTAAGAATAACTGACTGCATTACTTTAATTTCCTTTTGCTCACAGGAAGCCAGTGTATGCTCCAACCACCCTGTGATTCTCAGTGTCTGTGGCATATTTCTACATCATAAGTACATGAAAAGCCTGAATCAGCAACTCAACAGTATTATCCCAGATCTGCTTTTAAGGACTATACTATACAGAATATGTAAAAACTGATGTATCCCTTAAAAGTGAACTGCAGGTCTTTGGTAATGCAGCACTATATTACACCCAGTCCTCATTTTGAGTTAAGCCTTCAAGTCCCATCTGTCACATATGAGCCTATATTAGTTGAAATAATGCAATGCTACTCTATGATTGAGTTTTTTTCTTTCAGTAAATGGTAAATCATTTACACACCTGCGCACACTGATGGCAATGAGCTCCTATGCAGCGTCTTGCAGAGGATCAGCTCGCCAGCCCCGTGAATAGTGGCTGACACTGGTGTAACCAGAGGACATCTTCATGTTGTCTGACATCTAACATCTACTTTATCTTTACGTTTTATCATTTTATTTTTCATTTGCCTGAGAGACACATCAGTGAAGTCAAACAGGATGAGACAAACACGGGTAGTGAGGGACAGAGTCAAACAATCTTACCTGATGCAGGGCCGTGAGACCATCTTCGTTGCAGAGGTCTGGACTCACATTGTTCCTCAGCAGGTAACGAACTGGTGGAAAGAGAGAAGAAGAAACTTAAATGAATGTGGAATACTTCTTTTGAAATACTGGATTTCATTTTCTCTGTACAAATTAAATCAGATTTACAGACATCACTTCACTTCACTGCAGGTTTCACTCGCACTAATAAAAAAAAAACTTTGCAGCTGAGAAGCGAAACACTTTATTTTGCGAGTTAAGAGGCACACATGTTGCGTGGTGATATGGCTGCTCACTTATAAACAAGATTTTAGAAAGAATAAGATGATTTGGCTGTTGCAAACAAAACAGATGCAGGATAAAAGCATGATGACATTCCATACAAGCTAACTCCTCTTATTTGTTCACATGACCCACAGGTGCACCTCAACTTAACCCTCTGTTACACGGTGACACCTCCAATCAATCTGCTTATCACCCTGTCCGGGTATTTACCCAGCTGACCTTGGAAACATGGATGAATGGCGGGTGAGGTGAGTTCGGGAGGGTTTGTGATAAAGGATGATGTAATAATTCCTGGGATTACACGGTTTGTCTGCCTCACTGTCAAAACAGATAAACCCTCCGTCCAGACCCTAGATCACAGGATTTCAACTACCACAGTCTGCACCTTGGACAGATGTGTGTCTGCTAAACCTGCAGGCCTGAGCAGGAAGTGGCAGTGGCACACAGGATTCTCATTCACGTCATTATCCCCCATTTTGGTGACGCTTCAATTACACAGAGTCGAGTGGAGGAGTCAGGTTAGAGAGAGATAAGAAAGATTTTGGATGACAGTAATCCCATCTGTCCCTTAGACAAAGAAAATGGTCACATACACATGGTAAACTAAATACACCACGCAAAATCATAAGGGCGGTGGTGTACACAGATCTGAATCTCTTCAGGTTTTGAACTGATGGTCATCCAAAGAAGACATATGATGATGTCACCTACTGCCTGAATGTTTAACTGAGAAACTAATTAGAAGTTTAACTGATAATTAAAATAATTGTAAGTTGCAGCCCTACTGCATAGAGAAAGCTACATGTTGGAGCAGCAGCAGCTCTGTCACAATAACCAAACCTAGGCCGCATTATCCGTTTACAGTAAATGGTTTTTTGTTTTCTCTACATGCAGCTGCTGGTACCTTTTGTACGAGAAAGTCAATGACAGCAGGTATTTTCGGCACATGCCTTCTTGTGGCAGAAATCTTTCCAAAGTTAAGAACAGCCTGGGCTCCCAGAGGAGTGGCCATGATATGAATTGCATTTTTATGTGACAGCTAATAAAGACAAGGGAGCAGAGCTATGCTGGAGAGGGCGGTCATGACAACAAGATGAATACAAATGAAAGATGAACAGTAGAAAGGTTAGTGTTTATACACAGGGGCTGTGGAAGTACTGTTTGATGATAATGGCAGCTAGTCAAAATGGAAGCACAATGTGCACAGTGTGACTGAGGGAGGGTTTTTTTCTAGAATATAGCAGAATGATGGAAGTGCAGCCATCATCAGCCTCTCTTGTTATTCCATTTCTTCAGTTTTGGGTGTATTAGGCTTCTAATAAGCTTCCCTCTCAACATGTAATTGTGATATTTCACCTTGGCAGAACATTTTCAGTACCGTATGCCACCTACACAGGGGCTCTGCGGCAGCCACATCTACATCATCAGGTGTCTTTAAAATCCAAGGCCACTAAAACAGAATGAGCTGCTGCAGGTGCCAACACTGGTGGTTCCCTGTTCATGCACTCCTTTTTAACAGAGGGGGAAAAAATGTGAAACCTTGCAGTGAGTGGGAACCAGACCCAAGGTTATACTATGCAAGCTCAGTCTGACTGCATGTGGTAAACGTCACACGCCATCTTGGAGTGCTGTGTCGTGCAGAACAAACAACATATTTCTGAGGAACCGCAGTGTTTGTAATTAGATACTGAGGTGTTTATTGTACGGTACAATTTTCAAAGGTTCATCTAAATGTCATGTTTTGTTGCCTAAGAAGGCTATAACTGAATCTAAATTGGCTTGAAAACTGCATTTAAATAAAACAATTTAAAAGAATTCATCAGGCACAAGGTTGTATGAAAACAACTGACAGCATTACTTTTATTTCCTTATGCCCAAGGGAAGCCAGCAAAACTGGCTGCGGTATATATGAATTTACTTCTCTACTTTAAGTGAACACAAAGCCTGAATCAGCATACATTCAGCAAGTTATACAGCTGAGGTGCTTCTAGATGTTTTCAGCTGCCAGCTCCTCTAAAATGCTTTATTCTGATTTATCATAGCATAATCTGTACAGAAATTTGCATAGCAGAACAACACAATTGAGCTGCTACATAACATGGCAAGCATCCCCGCTGCCTAACAAAGTGATAAATCGGTTCTAAATCTTGAAGCCATGAAAACGAGAAATAAACTGAATTTAAGATTTAAACAGTCAAATGTGTCTCTACCAATCACAGAAAGAAATGGATTGTGTGTTTATGTAAAGTGCAGCAAGTGGTTGCATGCCCAGCTAACTTAGCACCTACAGTAGAAAAGAAAAGAGAAGAAGAAAGAAAAAAGTAAAAGACAAAGAAGAACATATTTAAAACAGCTTAAGTCAACAAAGTGGGCAAATGGTTGCTGTTGGGGATCTGGATGAAGTTAGTCTATGTGACGCCGTCTGCGCGAACACCAGCACTAAATAAACACTATCCCGTCACTGTGCACTTCCCTGCTAGCACACCCTGTTATTAATCTCCATTAAACATTGGCTGGGGTAACAGACACAAAGCAGTGCTGCAGTATGGGCAGGTATGTGTGACTACGTGAAGCTTGAACACAGGTCCTTTATTGGGAATTACTGAGTGCATGTCATTTCCCATTAACCTGGGAGCCCCCTCCTGCATTTGTGCATTTAGATTTTCCACTGCTTGAACGCACTGCCCATGCACGCAGCGATGTATAACACATCATGCTGTCCCGTTATTCGAGACTGGAAAAGCAATCAGAAGGTGACAGTTGTCTAATGGCGCCTGTCGGGTGCAGAAGTCAAATCGCTCTACTGACTCTTCAAGCTGGAAATTATGCATTTTAAAATATGTGCTGGAAACCAGAGTGAGATTAACAAAAGCACAGACACGCTCACCGCCACCTGACACGTCTATATTTGATTGGTTTTCAGGCAGTCGTGCAATAAAAAAATATGCATCGGTCCTGAACTGCTTCCTCTGTGGTCACTGATTAGTTAGGATGAAATGGATTTAAACTATGGTGTGTAATGTATCTGATGATGTGAGACAGAGAGATGTGTAAACAGCCATAGGAGAAAGACAGATCAGTCAGAAACACACTTTCATATAGTTGTGTTCTTAATATTTATGGTTCTGCTGCTCTGTTTAATTCTCTTTTCATGCATATTTTATGTTGTGGTTCGCTCTGATTTTTCACGGCTAGGTGATTTTTGTCTTCAATCTTAAGTCCGTCTGAACCAATCTGTGTAAACAGTATCCGATAAAGTGCTTGTGAAATTCAAGCTATCTGCCTTTTATGCAATATACTTCAGTTACACTATGAAGATTGTGTGTGTATGTGAGCAGATATATAAAAGTGTGCATGTGACAGCGCAAACGTGGTTGCAAAATGTTTCTTTATCACGTCAACACCTGTCATACAGAGATACATATAAATGCGTCTAAACCAAAACAACTTCAGAGCCAATTTTTCTGTTGAAAGACCTGAAATATTCCCTTAAAATGGTGATGCACCTACATCACCACCAAACAGAAACAAACCGTACAGAAATGCAGTCAGTCCCTTCGTGCATTAGGAAGAATATTTAGCCAGTTCCAAACAACAAAATATTATATTTTTGTATGATATGAATTTATTTGTGTCAGCAGTGATGCTCAAAGTGTTTTTTTTTGGTTTGGATTTATCCAGTTTTACAGTTACAGTATGTGTTGTTATACAATGTATGTGTGTGAATGTGTGTGCTGGGCTGACAGAACTCTTCTATCAAAACGTGCCAGAAAACTCTCCAGGGGCAAAACTCTAGGAGGCAATTCATCACACACACACACACACACACACACACACACACACACAGTACAAACACATACATATAATGACACAGCTCAAACCCAATCCCCACCCTGCTCAAAGATCGATGGATCAAACATGTCATTTGAAAAACACCAAGCATACATTAACATCCAAAACAAACAAAATCCTTTAAAAGGCACAAACCTATTAACATAATGTTCTGGGCACATTAGCTTACACAGGCAGAGCCCAAATAATATCAGTCATCACAAATGGGATTTTATCTCTGTAATTACAATAACAAACACGGTTAAAATATTAATTAGCAGCTTCACTCAGCTTAAACAGAATTTTACAAAACAATGTGTCACCTTACAAGATGATGAAAAAATATCCACCACAAGATCATGTCTTCAGTTTGCTTGTTTTTATGTTCAATTAACAAAAATTCAGCGAGTCCTCACATACAAGAACCAGTGAATAACTTAGATTAGATTAGAACACACAGCAAAATCATTTAACATGTCAAGCTGTCAACAGCAGGAACAAAACAACTGAGACATGATCAGTGGCCGGGTTTTAGTTTGATCCGCTGACTGACTGGTGAGCAGCTGATCAGTCTCAGACACTATCTGATTGTATGACGGGCAAATTTACATGCACAATAGTTCACTCTGGTTGCACATGCAATAGCGCAGACCAAAAGCATAGTAACATTTCGTGTGAGGCCTGCATTCATGTCTAATCCAGATGTGTGTTCAGTGGTGGACTGGAAATGCTTTGCATGCAAAAAGCGCACAGAGGAGCCCACAGAAACACCTTGGTGACGGTAAAACAACGGTTCAGAACTCTGACAAACAGTAGATAATGAGGAAATTACTGGCTACGCTTGAAATTCATGTATATGTACAGTATGTCTACCCTGTGGTAAAACACAGCAAACACAAACTACACACACTTCAAAAATACTGCAGGTTTAGTAGGATTGATGTAACAGATGTTG